CCCCCCTAGCCATTGGCTGGCGACGCCCTTGGCTTATCATAAAGAAGTTGCGTTAAATCACCATATTTTGGGCTCCCCCTACATGCTCCTGTGCTGTGTCAGATGATATTAAAAATTATGCTCTTATACATAGGCTCTTATGGGAGTTGGGAAAAAACTTTAATCAAAGGTGAATATTGCTCTTAAAAATGGTTAGGATCGGGAAAATAAAATTGTAAATAAAGAATTAAATATTACTAAACATTTTAAAACAATAAAAATATGCACTTACAATGTAATTATTGAGATAATGAAATGAATATATAACGTTTTGACAAATTCGAACAAACATCTGATCCAATGAAAGGAAATATGGCAACACTGTAGCTGTATTTAACGCTTTGACTGACGCGCTATATTTGAATAGTTCGATTATAGACTATAAAATTATTGCAATCGAAAACATATGTAGTAATATTAAATACATTTTTCGTGATGTAATGCAATATAATAGCAATTTGAAACAAAAATTGAAAGCATCTCTTTGCAAAACGAACAGTATAGGTGTTCTGTCATAATCTTCAATTTGACAAGACGACGTCTCAATATCATTCTCTGAGCTTCTTGATAGTTATCATACAGATTCTCGGTTTGCACATTTTACTTTTTTCTCATCAATCCATATTATGTTTCATACGCATTTATATTGCTTTTTCTTCGTATCTTGGATGTTCATCAAGTTTACGAAATATGCGCTAAGCACAGTTGACAGTAATGACAGTTGATCCAACTTTTGCCACTACGGCATGGCAATGGCAATGTTGCCAGATTTCATCCACAATTTTAGAAGCTCTTAATAAATAAATAGACACTTTTATTCAAATAAAATGTTAATTGCCGTGCATTAAACACGAAAAATATATGCAAGCTAATATGTGTTGTATAAATTTCATTCGTATATATTATATTTAGTTCGCTCAAATTAGTTTATGTAAGGTTGGTACTACAACGAAACTACCGTGTATTAGCATAGGCTTTCCTCCCGCACCGCCTGCCCCGCAAGAGATGTATCGAACCTCCTTAATATCTTAACCTCTTCATAGTTATCAAGGCAAGATCATATAATTCCTGCTGAAAATGTTTCCTACTTACTGTGATGACGCAATTTTCAGTAAACACTTTGTATTGTTCAAATACTAGTTTTATATGAGTTTAAAAAAAATATACAATCACATTTCCTATAATTAGCAATGATGCCATTCGAGTTATGTATTGAATGTTGTGGAACTGTAAGTAAATGTTAAGGACTTATATGTCCAAATAATTGGTTCTTTATAGATTCTGTCATAAAAAAAAACGTTTGTTACTAAAGCTTATGAGATCATTGGATTACAGAGATATTAACCAGAATAATAAAGAAATAAAATTTCTGATAGGTATTATGAAATCTACTTCTGAGTTTTAATACTTTGTTTTCCATTCGCTTTAAAAATAAAGCCACTGCACACTATAACATTAATTTTATATGGTAAAAACGTAGCAACAAGTAGATCAGTCAATATTTTGCGGCCCTAGTGCAATTCTCACAATCAGAGGAAGTAAACTATTTTCTCTCTACGCGTATAAATAACATGAACTGAACTAGTTCGACTATATTAGTAAATATTATAGTGTACTTTCTTTACTAATAGCCTTTAAGATGCAATTAGTTTGAAGTGCAGTTATGGTTAATTCATACGCAGGATGAAAACTGATTCAATTAGAAGCTAGAAGTATACAGGGTGTCCGGTCAATAGCTACTAACCTCTCAAGAACGTATAATAGAGGTTAAAATGCTATTAAAACTTCCTATATCGTTCTCAAGATGCCAACTTTTTATATCCTCACAATATGTGATTTCTGATATTAGACATTAATTCTTCATACTTTTCTACGAATAAAGGGTAATCTTAGATGACATTGTTAGGAGCATCCATTTTTATGAAATTTGCATTTAATCCAAATATTTAGTATCGAGAAAAAACGATTTTTATCTTAATCTTTGACCCCCTGTATGTTTGTCGTTATTAACTTCTGCACGGCCTATTTTGACTTCAATAACCTCTCATTCGTTATAAAACACATGTAAACGGATGTTCTTTGGGATCGCTTATGAATAGAAATCGGAAACTTTGTGGCGACAATCAAATAAATAAACAGTAGTATTATATTCTATTATGCTAGTAAGCGGCAATATGTGCTGTATTAGCAGTAATAGGCTAAATATGTGGACAAGCCGTGTACCGCTCTATGCTTACAATACACAATGCTACTGACTGTCACAAAAACACTTGCCATATACTTGACCAAGCATAGTGTCAAACTCACTCACACACACACACTCACATACGACAATAAAATGCACAGCCAACGTCTCTCAGCAAAAAAACTGAACTGGCAGGGCAAGCATTAGGGTGCCGCTAGATACGTATCGAATACATTGATCGATGCGAAGCTTCTGGTCAGAGACAGTCATGTACATCTTATTCGGAAATGTGAAGTAGTAAAAATAGCATCTATTAAAAACTTCAACTATTTTAGATACGCACCTGTGATTTCGATAAATGTTGAACGGTTATTTTCGTTTTTGAAATGGGTATTACCTGATTGCCGCAGACAACTGTTAATTGTTTTCTGCAATCGCTTTCCTTATCAATAAGATATTATTATTTTGTTAACTTTGGCTGGCACTAATTATTACGTACTATGCCTATCTATATTATGATATATTGATCACAAACATAGTCTTTTTGATATTTTATTAACTCGCAGTTGTTGAGCTTTATTTTCTTTCCTTCTTTTAGAAACTTTTCAAGTACCTAACGTTTCCTGATTATGGTTTTGGTAACACAAAACTAAGCAACTGATAGTTGGGAAACACAAAATATTTAAACGAAAATAAATACTGCGGATATTGTAGAAGTACAAAATGATACAAAATGACATTTACATAGATGTGACGTAATTCGATCTGATTGGTGTTCAATCTATCATGGCGGTTTGCTGTATTTTGTAGTTTTATTTTATCAAAAATATTATCAATCTCGATCATATAAAAATAAATACGTTTTTTGTAATCCATGAATCATATTTCTTTACATAAATACATAATTTTAGTGAATCTTGGTTAGTGTCATCATGCCTATAGCTGTGAAATACCCTTAATGGTTAAAAACGGTACAAATAAAATACTGTCATAATAAAACAAGACTCACAGATTGAAATGAAAGGTCTTATAAAACTAAGCAAATGGAGATCATTTTTCTGATAGTTTCATAATAGCCTCAGCGCTTTGACAATAGTTCGATACAGCTGCAAACAGTGATTACGATACAGAATATAACAAAACTCAAATGCAGCCATTCTCGTTATATTTCTCGGAATGCTGCTACGTTAAATGTTAAATAAACCGAGGTAAATAATATCTATTTTCTCCCACAAACTAATCACGATTGTCGTGAGGAAGATTATACAGTTTCGTCGTTCACTTGCCCACATGTCAGAATAATCGAGGACCTGTTTAGCAATAGGATGTGTTAAAATCGGTATATCACGTCCGATGATCATGCAGATAAAAGCTTGCCAATATCACAAACTGAAGCGAGGAAAGTTGTTTTAGTAGTATTTACTTCAATGTAGTGCCTCTTCGATTTTAAAGGTCGACAAGGAGATTTTTTTTAATTCAGGCACGATTTATGTCCCCGTTCTAAAAATAATACTTTGCTATAATACGTTGCTACCCTTATAATTCATATTTCGTGGACAAAATTATGGAGCTATTAATTTTTGATTTTTGAAACATGTTCATATCATTTGAGAACCATCACACTGCGTAAACTTGAAACACAGGATGATGGTATCTCTACAGGGTCTTAGAAACTGAGTATTACAACATTTTTTTATTGTTTCAGAAGAATGAGGAGGCCGCCTGGCCTGTGGATACTCTTATCGGCAGGTAAGAATGGCCAGTTCACTGGCACAGAAACTATTTGTACTTGTGATTCCTATCCTCAGTAAAAAATTTCACCATACTTTTAAATTTGCATGTTTTGCATAGTGTGAAGAGGTAAAACAGAGTTCTTTTAAAATTCAATACAATTGTTTTATTTTCTTTCCAACTATTTTCGGCTTTACCTAGGGAAAAAATGATAATCATGTGGAAAACAATGACTTCATATAACTATTATTAAAAAATATTATAAAAATGTTTGTTTAATAGTGAAAATAACAAAAAAATTTCAGGTTATTGTAATGAATTGAGAATGATCAGTAAATGTCAACTGAGCTATCAATATTTCGTTTAGAGAAATAATTGGATAATTTGTTTTCAAAGCCCTTATTGCAAAAATTGATAATTTCGTATTTTAAGTAACAATAAAATCACAAAAGCTTTTCTTTTTGTCGCATAAATTTCTCTTTGTAACGAAATAATTTTGCCAATCAGTAATTTTACGAGAAAAACTGACATGAAGGTCGAGCGATTTTGTCAAATGCACTTCTCGAGCAAAATTGCTGATTGGCAAAATTTTGAGTTAAAAAGAAATTTATCCATGAAATGAAAAGCTCGCGTGGTTTTTGGCAAGATAAATTAGTGGTCAAATATGTGAATGAACAACAAAAATAAATATCTTTATTTATTCTATGTGAATGAATAACGACCATTATCTTTATTTATTCATATTGTTTGAAGGAACAGTTTTTAAATACCTACACAGTTATTCTAAATTGTTTGGTTTGGTGTACTGATTTCAATATTTTTTTATCTAGTTTCCGTACATAATATTCCTTTTGACTTCACTTATTCTATCCGAGGTTCGTAAGTTAGTAATAAGACTTTCGTGATGTTCAGCGTCAATTTGAAGATTGGGTTTAATGGATGACGACGATGAGTGTCCGGTTACTTTATCAGTTGTTGATCACTTATCCCTGCTTTATTTTTATTGTTTGTGATGTCCAGTCCAATTTTAGCTGCAGATTCTTTTGTCCGTGTAGATATAGTATTAATTCCTAGTGGAACATTTTTATACTAACCTTTAGAATTTGTGTTTGTCCAAGAGGGGTTTGGAGTTAAAAAAAGTCGATCGGATGTTATGTTTTCATTTCTTTTTTCTAAGAGACATTGTAACGGGACAACTTCCTTTATTTTTCTTATTTTTTGTCATCCATTTGCTGCCTGTCAACTTTTTCGATCCACCTTGTGCTGTCTTTAAAAATATTGAATTCGATTCTTCCTGTTGGTGTTTCTTCTTGACTTTTTTCACTTTTAAAATGGTAAATTTTACAGCCTCTCCTCACCTTCAAGTCAATTCATAAGAAGCTACATGAAATAATCTTTTTTGCAATCCCTCTGGTTCATTTATATTCCACAATTTTGCCATTCTTAGTAGGTATATTTTCCTCGTCTATTGCTATAGATATAGAACATACTTTTCTTTTCTCTGAAATAACTTGTAATTCCTTCCTCTTACTGTTTCTTGCATCACAAGCTGCTTTTATAGTTATGTCGATAAAAGGATCAAATTTAATGTTATATTCAATGATATATTTTTCTTGAATCATCTTTGCAGTTGAATTCCAGATTGTTTTAACTGCATATTCTTTGTAAACTTTTTCACGTTATATACCCAATCCTGTAACATATCCGCTATATTTTTTAATGGAGTTATTTCTGACAGTTCGTAATTTTGTATTTGACAAAACTCCATAAATTGTCTCTATATCGACGATTTAGTGTTTTTTGTGAATTGTGGAATTGATTTTTCTGTTTTTTCTAATTTGTTCAGTCGAAGTTTTTCCAAAACGACTCATATTTATTTTATACTAACAATTTCAACAATACTTAATAATTGTAATGACAGGAAGCATTTTGAACTGACGTGCGCCTATAGTTTAGGTTTAGAGGAACAGGAGTTTTTTTCGGTGATGAAAAGCTATGCACCTTTTTATCGCTGTCAAATTTTTCCATTGTCGAACTGTACCAAGAACAAAAAAAAAATATTTTTTTCTGTCAAATTTTAACTGACTAAGTTTCTTTTGTCTCTGGACATCCCAGTACGCGTTGGAAAGTTTAAATATTCAATTTAATAAGCAGAACTTCTAGCAGAACTGTAATTTACTTTTTATTATTGTATACATATGATAAATTGACTTGACGATGTTCCATTTGTGTACGTAGACATTTAATAATACAGGAAACTTTATGACTTCATTAGTCCATAATTAAAAAAACTATTTTAAATAATAATTACCTAGTAGTCGCGCAATATTTTACAAAAAAACATGTATCTATTAGTCAGCGAAAGGATAGGAGTAATTTTATTAAATTAATTGCCGCAATAAAAGTCATAATATAATTTAATATTGTACCGTTAGATCTGTTTGTACACTTGTAGCTTGATGTAAGTAAAAATGGACATTCTCACAAACGGAAAACACGTGGAATATGACATCCTGCACGAGGAAAGAATACCTACGGTTTGTTATAATACTGTAGAAAAAAATTTAAATTATTCATTTAATAATGTTTTGCAGACCGTATTCTATGATTTTTTTTATTTTGAAGGGCTTCAAAGAAACATGTAGGTACAAGGTGATTCACTATTGGTATCCTGACATTCTTTTTCACTTTTTTGTTTTTAGAGTTATAAAAAAATATGAAATACAAAAATTGCACGATTTTTTATGAATTTTTCGAAAGTGATAGTACAAAAGCAAATGAAGTCCAAACAAAATGGCCGCGTATGTTAACTTTGTTAATTTAAATGGAACACCCTGTATATTTTTACATATTTGGATAGAACGTTCTCTATCGAGCATAGTCATATAGGGTTTTTGGGTCCATCTCTAACAATAAGCGGGATACTATTAAAAAAAGAAAAGAAGTTTTTTTATTTAGATAATAAGATATCTTGTAATTATTAGACCTCTTTCAGGCATTTCTGCCTTTTTCCAATTACGTAAGGATTTACAGATTTAGTTGTAATATATCTAGACATGGACACGGACAATATTATATGGTAGGCCGTGACAGTGACAGGTAATGTCATGACAACATTGTTATTGTTTGACAGTTTGTATTATTATTTAATTAAAATGGGTTACACAGAAGTAGAAAACTGAAATATTATAGGAATTAAAATAGACTAAAGATCTTCTCTATACTCTCAGGTTTTGTTTTTGTTTTAATTTCGATATTTTCCAGGTGAAAAGTTTTAATTGAAACACCCTGTATAGACGCATAACAATTTTATGTAAAATTGCACACTAGACAATGATCCAGGCCACATTAAGAATATAATTTTACCTTTATTTTATTATAGATAAAAAATGACAGTAAAGCACTCTCCGCAGAACCATTAGCACTACCGATATGGACAATTATCATCCGTCTTCCTTTATCTGATGGTGCCTTTCACTTTTACCCTGTTGAGAGTCCTGCCAAAAATAATTATCAAAAACATTTTGCATTCCTACCTTATCGTACTTTTGTCGCCCAGGTTTCATCCAAAATTCTCGAATTGTTCTCCTCCAACAAACAAACAATCTCGTCCATGTCGACAAGAAATGAATTGCCTATTTAGTCCAAGCATTCTATCACGGATTGATGTTAAATTTGCAGAAATTATTACCTGGACAAAAAAAAATATGACCTACTATTTTTTTTTGAAAATATTAGTATTCAATATTAACCTCCATCAGGGCGGGTTGTAGAAAGAAGAGTTAAGAATTAAATGGAGTTTAATATGCAAAGAGTGTTGTACCAATATAGTTTAAGATAAATTCCTCGTTTAACCAGAGTTTTAGTTTACCGACCATATTTCGCAGTTTAAACTAAGTTTATCAAATATAACCATACTTTTTATTGATTTTTCCGTGGACGAAAGATTATTTGTTATTTCCATTTATCTCTATGGTTATTACACTAACTAAAAACTGACTTATAAAGTTCATTCGTAGTTCTAAAAATGATAATAAATTCCAAAAGTGAAAACTAATATGTACCTACTTAATGGATTTGTATTATTACACCGATGATGAGGATTGAGGAGTTTAATGAAAGTATACAGTTCATCCATAGAAAATTGAATATTAACATTCTTCTATGAGTACATCGGAGACCTAAAAACGGTATATTTTGGACGTAATTTAACAAGATTCTCTCTTCCTTCTCGGTGCACGGGTTTTAACTTTTTTCTTTTCTTTGTCCATATTTAAATACTGTGTTTATATTATAAATACTAAAATTTGGGAATAGTAAGTCAGAAATTAATGTTTATTTTCAAAAAGGCGTCATATTTCTTCTTTAGTAGTTCAGATGCACGGATACCGCGGTTCGGATGAACGAAAATGTACTGCCACTATGCAAAATCGGCGGTTAGGTAACCGACACTTAATTACGTATTGTACAACGCACCATTTGATAATTTAAGTTTAAAAGTTAACCCAAGTTTTTGTAAACTTCGTTTAACCTGTTCTTTCTACAACCCACCCTCAAGCGCATCGCTGTAAAATGTTAATTGCGTTTTCAACATTTTCTTTAAATAAAAAGTTATCTCGGCTCCAGAAGGTCGTAGAAAAACATTTTTTTTTAATTCGTGAAGAAATGTCAGCAGTTTCTTTCTTTAAAAGTAATTTTCATAAAATAAAAATTTAAATAGTTATTTGAAAAAAACACCCAAAAAAAGTGCAACTTTTTCAGTCATTTTTTGATCCTGAAAATTAATAAAATCGTCAACATTTTTTAACAGCATGATAATATAACTCTTTACGAAGAAAATAAACCGAAAATCGTTACTGTAGGGCTATCCGCTGAGAAGATCTAGCCAATTTTCGAGAGCGCCTTTTTTTCAAAAAATCGATATATCTCGAAAAATAATTAATATTTTTAAATTTTTCAAAAATGTACTTTTTTGGCTTGCCGCGGGCTATGCTTGCAGTAAATAGCAAATATGGGCACGTAAATGTAAACGAGTTATAGAAGAAGAGAAAAGAGAAGATTTTTAACGGTTTTTTCGATATATCTCGAAAAGTAACAAAGCAATCGATACTTTCAAAAAATCAGTCGATAGATCTTTTTAAAACCTACAACTTTCTCATTTAAAATTTTTCAATCCGTGCTATATTTTTTTAGTTATTTTAGAAAAACCGTTTTTTTCAACTTTGCGATTTTTTTTAACCATGTTCGCCATATTGGATCGAGTTTAAAGAACAAGAAACTCAATTTAAAATTTAATTTTCTATACGGTCATATTTTTTTTGTCCAGGTAATAATTTCTGTAAGCATTTCTCTATAATGCTTGGACTAATTGCCTACATTGTCGATCGGTAGTAAATATTCATATCCCGAAAATATATTAAAAGTCTTGCCAAGTGCATGGATTTTCTTATTAAAATAAAATGAATAACAATTTTTACAATATTTACCAATTTTTATTTTTCATCTACCTCGAAATAGGCCTGGGTCACTTAAAGTTGCATATATTTTTTTACCTTTTATTTTAAGGAGTAGATAAGATAATTTGCATTATAATAGCAATTTTTCTTATTAATATTAAATTATTATATGCCAATATTAAAAATTAGTTTGCAAACACGATTTTACAAAGCAGGGATAAGTGACCAACAACTGATAAAGACAACCGGACACTCATCGTCATCATCCATTAAACACTACCTTCAAATTGACGCTGAACATCACGAAACTCATATTAGTAACTTACGAACCTCGATTAGAATAAGTCAAAAGGAATATTCAACATTTACAGAAACTAACAAGAAAATATTGAAGTCAGTACACCAAACCAAACAACTTATAATAACTGTGTATTTAATAACTGTTCCTTCAATAAATAAATAAATAAAATAAAAGTTAATTTATCTTGCCAAAAATCACGCGAGCTTTTCACTTCATGGATAAATTTATTTTTAACTCAAAATTTTGTCATTCAGTAATTTTGCTCCAAAAACTGGCATTTGACAAAATCGCTCGGCCTTCGGTCACGCGATTTTCTCGTGTAAAATTACTGATTGGCAAAATTATTTCGTTATAAAGAGAAATTTAGCCGATAAAAAGAAAAGTTCTTGTGATTTCACTGTTGGTAAAAACTACATATTATTATTGTATTTAAAATTAAGCTGCTGTAAAAATTCTATTTTTATAGGTTCCAAGTACGAACCTGGAATGTATGATTTCCTCTCGGACTTTGCGTTACCTACTAGATATCATAAATGTTTAAATGTTTAGAAACTTATTGCGCAAATGACACTATTACCCCAAATACTCTTACATCACGTTATTTTACTCTCTGAACACTTGTTGGTAGCTAAGATTTCAACGTATTTTTTATGATCAAAACAAGATAATACGGCTATGCAATGTGTCTTCGACACTATTTTAATTATTTATTTGTTTGGTATTTTAACCGCGCTGGTTTTAAATTGAGAAATAATGGAGGCATTTAAGTAATTTACGGTCAATTAAGGAAATACTTATACATCTCGTAGCTTTACAAGCTCAAATTGGTTATAAAATAATCTTGTTCCCTTGTCAATGTTTGGCTTTAACACAATTTGATCACATCAGACACTAGCTGATGAAAAATTTTAGTTGCTACTTCTATAAACGTCTTAAAAAAGTGTCTTGCTAATGCATTGTAGGTATTTATTTTATTACTAAATCTAGCTGAGCAAATCGAGCAAAATGGAAAGTTTAGTTCAAATTATTGTAAATTTATGCTGAACATGTGTTCTACTTTGAAGCGATTGTGTTTGACGATCAATAGCGGACACAAAGAGGTGCGTTTTCTTTAATTACGAACATACAGATTAATGACATGCTGTTTAACGAAAGATGTACGATTTTTTTTGTCCGTATCATTCTAGTCCTATTTGGGTCGTTCATTAATAATTTAAAATAAAAATAACATGCATAGCTTAGTTTTCAATTATTTTATGTAAAATAGGCATTAACATATTCTATAGAAATATCTTTACAACAATGAGGAAAAGTATGTAATAAATGTGTATTTTTTTTCAGGAGTTGTTTGGTTGAGCCTTCAAAATGCTCACGGACTAAGGGCGACATCGTTAATTTTTGGGAAAACCACTACAACGACAACCACCACTGCCAAAACAGTCAGCGAAGAACCAGAAGTAGTTGAAGAAGAGGTACAGTAACAATTTTTTGTTATTTAAAAAATGTTTTGCAAATTAGTCTAAGTCGTTGATATTTTTATTAAACATTTTGCCAAAAGTCAAGTTATTCATTAATAAAAATATTCCAAAAAACTGAAAAATGAAAATCGTAAGAAATTAATTAAATTTCTCAAAAATATGAATATTTGCTATCTGGTAGAATTAATTATCTATTATTTAGTCACAAACGACAGAAGATTTTAATTAAAAATTGTAATTTTTTTTATTGATTTATAAAATATACAGTATAGACTTATACATATATGGAATAGCATATCGGGTATTTGGTTTTAATGGCTTTGCTGGCACATACGCATCCTTTTGTCGAAAATTTCCATGACTGTTTTACATACATACGCTTAAAATTTCGTTGATACAGCGCTCAATTTCCTTCTCTAATACGTGGGTGGTCGTGAGCTTGTTGGCATAAACCTTAAACTTCAAAAAAACCCAAAGAAAAAAATCCAACGATGTTAAATCAATCAATCTAAGTCAATTCTAACCATCAAAACGGGAAATTACACGACCAGAAATTGACTCATGCAATAATTGAATTGTTTCTCGGGCTATATGGCATGCGGCACGGTATTGTTGAAACCACATATCACCTACATCCAAATAAAATGCGATTTTGGAAGTATGGATTATAAGTGGATTGTTAAAAATTAAAATTAGACATTCTGCAACTTCAGAAACATAATAATCATAACATAGCCTTATTTTATTTTATAAAACGCACGAATGGTACCTACTGTAGTTTTAATTCTTATTCTTATTGCTTATACTGCAACTTTATTTTCAAAAATATTGGATGCATTACTTTAAGCTCTTACAAAATGTACTAGACAGATTTACTTCGACTTCAGATATATGGACTGCAGAAAGGATTCACTTACAATTTAAGCAAAGCTTAAAATTTAAGTATATTGGTGCAATCGGCCCTGAATTTTTTATTTTGTAACAAAAAAAAACAAATTGTAAAGTTTCATATTATCATACGAGATTCTATTTCATGTACAGAGTGATTCACTATATTTTGACCCCCTTATTAACTTTTTTGTTTTAAGAGTTATAAAAAAAATGTGAAATACAAAAGTTGCACGATTTTTTATGAAGTTTTCGAAAATGACAGAACAACAACTGAAGTCCAAAGAAAATGGCCACAGATGTTAACTTTATTAATTTAAATGGAATACCCTGTATATTTTTACATATTTGGATAGAACGTTCCCTGTCGAGCATAGTCATATACGGTTTGTCGGGTCCATCTCCAACAATAAGTGAGATAATATTAAAAAACGAAAAGAAGTTTTTTTTATTAAGAAAATAAAACATTTTGTAATTGTTAGATCTATTTAAGGCATTTCCGCCCTTTTTCCAGTTGCGTAAGGATTTGAATTTAGTTGTTACTTTGACATATCAGACATTGATATAATCCAAAATGCGTATAGGTATTTTAACTAAATCTCACTAATTAGGTCGTGAGGGGCCTATTTACAATGGAAAATGTTATATGGTAGGCCGTCACAATGACAGGTAATGTTATGTCAACATTGTTATTGTTTGATAGTTTGTATTATTATTTAATTAAAAGGGGTTACACAGAAATAGAAAATTGAAATAGGTATTATAGGAATTAAAATAGAGTAAGTTATTCTCTATACTCTATTTTAATTCCTAATAATATTTCAATTTTCTACTTCTTTAATTTTAATTAAATAATAATACAAACTGTCGATCAATAACAATGTTATTATGACATTACTACCTGCCACTGTCACGACCTACCATATAACATTGTCCATGAATAATTAGGCCTCTCGCGGCCTAATTAGTGAGATATAGTTAAAATACCTATACGCATTTTGGACCGTATCAATGTGCGATATGTCAAAATATTACACCTAAATCTGTAAATCCTTACGTAATTGGAAAAAGGCAGAAATGCCCGAAAGAGGTTTAGAAATTACAAAATGTCTTATTTTCTTAATAGGTTTTTTATTATCTCGTTTATTTTTAGAGATGGACTCAATAAACCCTATATGACTATGCTCGACAGAGAACGTTCTATCCAAATATGTAAAAATATACAGGGTGTTCAATTTAAATTAGCAAAGTTAACATCTGCCACCATTTTGTTTCGACTTCAGTTGTTTTTCTACTATCATTTTCGAAAACTTCATAAAAAAACGTGCAACTTTTGTATTTCACATTTTTTTTTATAATTCTTACAACAAAAAAGTTAAAGAGGAGGTCAAAATATAGTAAATGACATGAATGATACTGTACATGAATAATAATTGTTCTTTTTGGCTATCTGTATAATTTCTTTAAAAAAATAATAGATATAATGTCAACTATTACTCGTGCTCATATTTCTTAAAAAAAATTCAGTTGCCTCTTAAAATATAAAAAAAATATTTATGTAGGTATAGTTTTATATATCATACCCTTTTTACTTTTAAATATCTGCTTTGTTCATCAAACTTCTAGAAAATATTCACTTCTAAGTTCTAATATTGTACCAACTACATCAATTTAATTCATTTCAGAAATAATAAAATGTTGCGTTACAGTCAGGTTATTATTGCTTATTCTTATAAAATATGTTTTGATATTAGTTGTTAACTAACCTTGAAATTAGCAACTCCAATCAGTTGTTAATTTCTTATAAAATCAGGCCCCAAAGTTAAGTTAACATTGTTAGCAACCATTTTATAAAAACTAGTTAAAAATGTGTTCCGAAGGTTAATTTCATAAGATTGAATGAAATTAGCAATATGTCTCAGAATTCAAATCTGGTTTTTAATGTTGAAATCCAGATTTCTTCTCAACCTTCAAAAGGGCATTTCCAAACTGTCGTCGTTGTCAGAAGTGCATACCAATTTTTTATTTAGTAGTCTACGTGACCTGCCTACTCACGATATTTTGGCGAATGTTCTTCAAGGCCCCAAAACCCGTTACTGCCAAGAAAATGTAAACAAGTACAGTTAAACGATATTAATATTAAAACCCACAGTTTTACTGTGCAACCTTGGCAAAAACAGTCAATTATTTGGATTTTATTCGTGTTAACTGAACATTTCGTTGAAAGTGTGGGATGGAAATTATTAATTTTTATTAATAGCTGCCCATTTATCAAACTTGAGAGGGAAAATTGATATTCGCGACTAAGGATTTGTTTCAGTTTTAAAATTGTTTTGAATTGTTTATTAATTTAATGGAATTGAATATATTTTTAAATGTTTTTTTTTATGATCCTCGAAAAGCATTAGCAGTATCAAACGTACGAACTTGAACTGTCGAAAAAAGGTCTTCGAACTGGTCGAAGTCTATTAAAAATTACCAGGAATTTACCATGTCTGGCAAATCAAGTTCATCTTGGATAAAATGTTTATGTCGATTCATTAACATTTTCTTGATGTTAATGACGTGTTTTATTCTAAATTAAACTCGTACTCATAAAATTTACTACAAAAAAAAAACGGACACAATATACCTAAATGAAGTTTCTACAATTTAAATGTTTTTTTTTTCAAGTCACAATAGCATTTTTTTCCTATTTTGTAAAATATCCTGTTCATCAAAAGCTCATTATTAGTTGTTAAGCTTTTATACAGGGTATTCTTGAAAACAGTGGTCATACAGCAACGACAGATTCCAAAGATAAAAACAGTTGAATTTATGGAAGTCAACTCATCTTGGTTCAAAAATGCTCCGTTTTTAAAAGTTGTTACAATCTTACTTATAAAATCAAATTCATTTTCATAATTCATAATTCTACACAATATGCACACATTTCCACACCACCTGCGAGGTAGTGTACTTTGGCGCGTTTTTGTTTTTTTAACAATTTCCCTGGTAGGCCTACTCCACGAACTGTTATGACGGAATTTTCAGGGACAATACTCTTATAACTGCATGATCATTATTGATATTGGTTATTGACTTTAACTGTAGTTCTGATTTCTTTTGATATTTTAATCTGATTCATACTCTTCAAAGTCGACTTCAACAGTCATGTCTTCTTCGATTTCTTCTTCTTCTTCTTCTTCTTCCTCTTCTTGATGGATGTTCATAAATTGTTCAAATGAAGATGAATCAGCTATCTCTCCATCGAAATCACATGAATCTTCGTCTGTTGTATTTAATTGGACATTTGAGCAAGACTGGCTTTGGCAATTAGTACACGCTGGAGAACACAGTAACCCTNCGAAAAAACCGTTAAAAATATTCTCTTTTTTGGCTTGCCGCGGGCTATGCTTGCAGTAAATAGCAAATATGGGCACGTAAATGTAAACGAGTTATAGAAGAAGAGAAAAGAGAAGATTTTTAACGGTTTTTTCGATATATCTCGAAAAGTAACAAAGCAATTGATACTTACAAAAAATCAGTCGATAGATCTTTTTAAAACCTACAATTTTCTCATTTAAAAATTTTCAATCGGTGCTATATTTTTTTAGTTATTTTAGAAAAACCGTTTTTTGCAACTTTGTGTTTTTTTAACTATGTTCGTCATTTTGGATGAAACTCAATTTAAAATTTAATTTTCTACACGGTCATATTTTTTTTGTCCAGGTAATAATTTCTGTAAGCATTTCTCTATAATGCTTGGACTAATTGCCTACATTGTCGATCGGTAGTAAATATTCATATCCCGAAAATATATTAAAAGTCTTGCCAAGTGCATGGATTTTCTTATTAAAATAAAATGAATAACAATTTTTACAATATTTACCAATTTTTATTTTTCATCTACCTCGAAATAGGCCTGGGTCACTTAAAGTTGCATATATTTTTTTACCTTTTATTTTAAGGAGTAGAAAGTTGACTTTCCAACCCCAAGCAACACTAAGGTAAATCGACCAATTGATAAGATAATTTGCATTATAATAGCAATTTTTCTTATTAATATTAAATTATTATATGCCAATATTAAAAATTAGTTTGCAAACACGATTTTACAAAGCAGG